ATTGTGAGACATGTAACGTTTGTGATATATATGTGGTGTTGGTGATATATATGTGTTATTGATGATATATATGTGATGTTGGTGATGTTTGTTATATATATCTTATGTTTGTTTGGATGGAATGTAAAAAACAAATAAAAAGACTGTTTTCAGTCACTTTGCCGAGTGCAATAGCCATGACACTTGGCAAAGTGATGACCTGAGAACATGCCTGGGAACATGCTTTGCCGAGTGCAAAGGCCATTGCACTTGGCAAACATCACAGATTTACCGAATGCCACGGGCCAGACACTCGGCAAAGGTCGCCTGTTTGCCGAGTGTCTTGCCGGTGGCACTCGGCACAGTGGCCACCTTTGCCGAGTATCCGAGTCAATGGCGCTCAGCAAAGAGGCGACCTTTGCCGAGTGCTTGACCTTGACACTTGGCAAAGCCGCCGTCACGGTGGCGCTCGCCGTCACGGCAACTTTTCTTTGCCGAGTGTCGGATTAGCACTCGGCAAAAGCTTTGCCAAGTGCCCGATAAAGTGCACTCGGCAAAGAGGTCTTTGCCGATAAACTGTTTACCGAGCGCCCTTTGCCGAGTGTAACACTCAGCAAAGGCTTTACCGAGTGTATATCGGCATGCACTCGGCAAAGAAGTTGAATCCGGTAGTGTTTTGAGCACTTCCCGTCCTACCACATACCACTTTCTGATACAGACGCCGTCTTACACTTTGAGAGATTAGAGTGAAAAAAATGAAGCACTAATGATCCATTTATTGCCAGAAAAACTACTAAATGACCTGAAGCTCATGTTGAGTTAGCAATGGCAGTCTCGATCCAGTTTTATCCGGGGGTTTTTTAGCAAGGAGGCAGATAATTTTCAATAAATAGCAACTTGATGTTGTTTAGGGCCCCCTAAGACAAATAATTGTTGTAGGAGTTATACCAGTTACAATAGTCCAACACATGTGTCATGTACCCATGAAAAACTCCAGCCACGAAGTAACACAATTTCACATAAATGGATACTCGCTCGATACTAAAATAATAATCACTAGATACATCATGTAATATTCATATAAATGGATAGTCGCTCGATACTATATATATTTTGTAAGAATAAATTGCGCTGTGGGTCTTTAAACTCCCCCTCTCCCCTTCTCACCTAGATCTAGATCTATTAACGTTTTTTTTTCTGGTCTCATAAGATTTTGCGTTGCGATACGATGCGAGAGGGCGTGGCGCGGAGCCAAACAGGAGGGGATGACGTTGTTTAGCACCACCTCGGAAGCGCAGCGCAGCAACGCAAACACTAGCTTATAGTCCCGAGCGCACCAGCTGCGTCGTCTCTTCGGAGACCTCCCATAAAATTGAAACGATACGGGGAAGATTAGCATGACCCCTGCGCAAGGATGACACGCACAAATCAAGAAATGGTCCAAATGTTTTTGAGATTTTACGCGCCGGTCCCTGTCTGCTTACAGATAGGTCCTCCTGGTCCTTGGATGGTGTTACAAACAGGTCCCTGCCTGCTTACAGATAGATCCTCCTCGTCCTTCGATGTGTTACAAACAGGTCCTTCAGGCTTGCAGGCTTATGCACTTCTTCCAGTTTTTTGTGCCTCGGTCCCTGCCTGCTTACACATAGGTCCTCCTTGTCCTTGGATGTGTTACAAACAGGTCCCTGCCTGCTTATAGATAGATCCTCCTGGACCTCGGATATGTTACAAACAGGTCCTTCAGGCTTGCAGGCCTATGCACTTCTTCCAGTTTCAGGCTTACGTTTTTTTTCCCCGTTTGTACAACTTTTGAAGGTCTTTACAGTTTTGTCCTGCACTCTTGCTCTTGCTTCTGGCCTTCTGGGTTTACATGGCTCTGTATGCAACCCTGCATCTTTCCCTCTTCATGCTTTTTATTACGAACAGGTTCCAGATAAAGTGTGCAAAACTGCAAGTACCCAGTATCATACAGTTAGGCCTGAACTTGTATAGTCGCGTCTTCTAAAATATATTTAGTTGTGTACTTGTGTTTTTTAAAACAAATATATATAATTGTATTTATGTTTTTTTATAACACACGTCGGTCCTCTTGGTGATTTGGCGCTCTGTGTTCAATCGTCTTTCATTGGTTATAGTTAGACTCATTAACTGCAAACACTTGCGTGTATTCATATAGATTTTGGCTACTGTCATCCGAAAGAAGAAACCATCGTGTATTCATATAGATTTTGGTCAGTATCATCGGAAAGGAGGAAAAAACCTGAGCGAGATAAAAAAAAAACTTGAGCGATTTTTGTTTTTTTGAGAAATTTTGTTGATAACTGATTCATAAAAAAAAGCAATGGTTCAGGCCGATGTCGTTTTGCATTTTCCACACACTTGCATCTTTCTTTATAACACGCGGTGTGCGCTGAATGACAAATTTGAGTTACATGTTATTCTTTGTCTGTCGAAAGAAAGAACATTTTTTCAAAAAAAAAGAAAGAAAGAACATTTATCAATTTAGCGTAGCTTGGTTGGTTGGGTTTCTTGTGAAGGAACCTGTTCTTCCGGCACCAAGTTTAAGTCCTCGGCTTGGGATTTAATGATATTATTCTTGCAGTGTAGCTGACGTACTCTCTATAATGAAGCGCTTGTAATGATTTTTTTCATTAATCTCGAAATCTGTCGGCTCGATAATCTTAGTCTTGCGGAGGTGATAATAGAGTAAGACGTGGGGTGAGTGCGCATATACAAGTATTTGTGTCTACACTCTGATTCAGGAAAAAAAAATGCAATTCAAGCATACGGCGTACGTACACAAAGGATGAGAATCCATCCTTCAGTAGGCAATCATTGTAGCAATATCTTGTTCTAGTTTTATCATCAGCAAACTAGTATAGGACGAACATAGAAGTAACCCTTCAACTCTTTCGCCCTTGCTGTTATTACCATGGTTGTGGCACATCATGGTTATATGGAAAGGTTATAATCTTTAGTAAATAGTTACCATAAGAGGAGCTCTAACTTTTTTATATAAAGTTGGTTGAAGATAAAAATTAATATCAAAATTGTAGAATTTGATAAGACCTATACCATTATAGTTGACAACATTCTTACTTGAGGTCGTTTCATGGGTCCAAATATTCATCCGTAATGATAGGATGTGGGCGTCCGTTCCTCCGGACGCTCCTCACCCGCACTCCGCTCGCTGCTTAGGAGCGCGCCCGCAATCCGCCTCCATATCTCTAGAAAAATCGCTCGTCTTCTCCAGCGTAGCTGCGTAGGCCGCTCGCCGCAGGCAGCGCACCCGCCCGCCGCGACCTTCTCCAGCGCAGTGGCACCGCAACCGCATCCCATCCCTGGCTGCTCCGCTGTCTACGCCACCATTCCATGTCGCACCTCCATCCACCTCTCCCGTCGCGGAAGAGGAGACAGGGGAGGCATGCACCTGGGGAGGCCTGCGCCCCCATCAACCTCGCATGTCAGCAGGAAGGGGAGGCCAGCACCTGCGCCTGCGGCTAGGTGTACATTGGGCCATTGACGTCCCCCTGACTAACGCATGTTGCAAAAGCATATTTCAATTGTTTCTGAGGTACGTTGCAAGTGTTATATATCGATGTTGCAAAAGTAGATTGAGATGTTGCACATGTTGTAATGGCTATACACATATGTTTCAAGTTTATGTTCCAAATATTTCATCTGTTCCAGATGTATGTTGCAAGTGTTTTATCTGGATGTTGCAAAAGTAGAACGGGAGGTTGCATATCATGCATGTTGCAAGCATATGTTTTCAAGTGTTTTCAGGTGTATGCTGCATATGTTTGCCATGGTTTTCAAATGTTTTTCAGGTGTTCTCGCAAGTGTTTCAGACGCTTGTTTCAGGTGTTTCATCAGTCTTTTTTTTGTATGTTGCAATTGTTGCATCTGAATGTTTCAAAATTAGATCGGGTGTTGTACATGCGATGCGCGTGGGAAGCAGCTGGCAGCACGGGCGACGTCCGGGACGGCGTGGACCCACTACTGGTGTGCTCGCTCACGAGCCCGACGCGCTAGGCGCTCGCTTCCTCCCTGTTAGGACGCTAGCGCCCGAATCCTACGTCCGAGTATTCGTTACAAGCTATCAAATTTAAAATTCATTTTTTTAAAACTTTTCAAACAAACTTGGACGTTGACATGGATGTACTACTTTATAGCGGAAAAGAATTTGATTATTTGAGACAGTGTTGACATAGTCATCCATACCAAATACAAAACGCTTACGTCATAGACAAGGTAATAAACACAGAGGAAAGCAGGGATCTGAAGCGGGTTGATCTGTTTGAGAAAACGAGAGGCTGGTGTGGATAGACGCGCGCGCGCTGAGTTGTCTCGCCCCCACCCATTGACCCATGACCCATCGGCCGTGGCGTGCCGTGCGGTGCGGTGCGGTGTGTCGTGCCTGTGCGTGCGCACGGCCCCCGCGCGGCAGCTTTGTCTAATGCAAATGGCAGCCTGGATCGAGCCGGGGAACATACAGCCACAGGTACAGCTACCTTGAGGGCCACTCTGTACCGGCCGGACTGCAACAGGGCTATCTTTAAGCTTGGCTGCGTGTGCGTGGCCGTTGGGCTATACCCGGCCGGCAAAGCTGAAGACCCAACACTGAACCACAGCAGAGGTGGACCTGGCCGTAGAGCTAGTAGGGCGCTATTGCAGCATGTTCCGAGCCGCGCAGCGTGTTGTCAGGGCCAGCGGGAAGATCCGGGCCGATCCAGCCGCCGCGCCCGCCTTCCTCCTCAGTAGCTGCTTCTCCGCGGCGGCCGGGCCACCACCGCCACCGCCACAGAGGTTCTCCATCTCACCGAGATAGAGCCTGTTCGGGAGGCCGTATCGTATCGTTGATTATTTACTGCTGACTGATTTGGTGTGAGAGAAAAACACTGTTTCCGACTGAAAATTTAGTATCGTTTACGAACAACGCTAGCCACCTCCTGGAATCATTCGTCTCGATCGCATGACACGCTCATGTTTGATTTATTTGTCCGTCCATCCGTCGCTAGGCTGGCTGGAAAGGTGGCGCTGATCACCGGCGGCGCGAGCGGCATCGGCAGGGCGACGGCGGCGGAGTTCGTCCGGCACGGCGCCAAGGTGATCCTCGCGGACGTTCAGGACGACCTGGGCCGCGCCGTCGCCGCAGAGCTGCGCGGCGGCCCGGACCCGGACGCCGCCGCGCCCGCCGCGGTCTGCCACTACACCCGCTGCGACGTGGCGGACGAGGCGCAGGTCGCGGCGGCGGTGGACCTGGCTGTGGCGCTCCACGGTCGCCTCGACGTGATGTTCAGCAACGCCGGGGTCAGCGGCTGCCATACACCTGTCCCCGTGGCCGCGCTGGACCTGGCCGACTTCGACCGCGTCATGGCGGTGAACGCCCGCGCGGCGGTGGCGGGCGTCAAGCACGCCGCGCGCGTCATGGTGCCTCGCCGCGCGGGGAGCGTCATCTGCACGGCCAGCGTCGCGGGGGTGCTCGGCGGCGTCACGGCCCAGCCCTACAGCGTCTCCAAGACCGCCGTGCTGGGCCTCGTGCGCGCCGTGGCTGGGGAGCTCGCGCGGTCCGGCGTGCGGGTCAACGCCATCTCGCCTACTTACATCCCCACGCCGCTCGTCATGGGCGCCATGGCCGAGTGGTTCCCCGGGGTCACCGTCGAGGAGCGTAGGCGGATCGTGGAGAAGGACATGAACGAGATGGAGGGCCCGGTGCTCGAGGCGGAGGACGTGGCGAGGGCGGCGCTGTACCTGGCGTCCGACGAGTCCAAGTATGTGAATGGCCACAACCTCGTCGTTGACGGCGGCTACACGGTGGGGAAGGTGCCCAACATGCCACCACTTGGACACTGACGTGTTGCCAATCGAGGCACGGTGAATGGCTTTCTCTTCATCAAAATATTTTTTTTTCTTTGAATTTTGCTATTGGAAAACTTAAATAAACGTCAAATAACTTCTTTGCCTGTTTTTTTTTCAAATATTAATGGAGACTGGACCGAGCCAACTGATCTTGAGATTGAGAAAATCACCACGTTGTGCATTGCTAGCTAGTTTTCAACTATTTCTAGTTCTTACAACCTTTGTTTGTTCTGCAACTTCTAGTTGCGATAATGATTCCACATGGGCGTCCGTGAGGATGGACGCGTCTACCCCACTAAATTCTCCTGCGCGCCCTCTCTCGCTCTTGTCCACCTCCACCGCGCTGCCTACTCGTGCGCGGCCGTGCTCGCCGCGGCTGCGCTCCACCACGCTGCCAGCTCGCCGCAGCCGGCCCACTAGCCACGGCCGCCTCCACCACTCTGGCGAGCCGCGGTCACCTCTCCATCGAGCTGGCAAGGGGGGTGAGCTTCATGTGAAGTCGTCCCATCGGTGAGTTGCTCGCGCCGCTGCCGCACGACGAGCACCATGCGCCGCCGTCGACCTCCATGCAGACGTCGAGCTCCACAACGACAAGCCTCCATTCGTCCAAGCAATAAGATGATATTGCGTTGAAAAACCATGTTGCAAGCGTATATTTTAAGTGTTGCCGATGTTTCATCTGGATGTTGCAAGTGTTTTATTGATGTTGCAAAAGTAGATCGGGATGTTGCACATGTTGCAATGGCTACAGACGTATATTTCAAGTGTATATTCCGAATATTTCATCTATTTTTCCAGACGTATGTCTTGCAAGTGTTTCATCTGAATGTTGCATATATTTTTACAAGTGTTTCAGACGTATGTTCCAAGTGTTTCAGCTGTTTCCATACGTATGTTGCAAGTGTTTCATCTGGATGTTTCAAAAGTGGATCTGGTGTTGTAGCAAGTCTTTCATATGCATGTTTCAAGTTTTTCGTCTGCCTTAAGAAGTATGCTGCAAGTGTTGTATCTGGATATTTCAAAAGTAGATCGGATGTTGCATCTCCCTCCTCGCTTTTTCTGCTGCCTTGCATCGGTGTTTCCTCCTCTGGCGCCGGCTGGGAGTCCGCTGCCCCCTCCACCTCTTTCTCGATGCTGGTGACGCTTGGGCCGACGCGGGCCCCGCATAGGCACGCAAAACAACACGGGAAACAACTTATAGGCGTGGGCGTCCGGACGCTAGTCGTTCTGTTCTTGTTGTTCTTGTTCAAAAGGTTGGTTTTTGACAATGGTTGTACAGTTGGCCTAGGACCATGATGAGAAACAAATTTTTTGAAGGTCTTGGTCCTCTCCATAGTGCATCTCTACACACACACAAAAATGACTTAATTAATTAATAATTCCTGGAATTTTTAGATTGGGAAGTTCAACACTAAAATAGAGCATGGACTTCAGATGTGGGGGATTTACCTGGGCCATGTTTAGTTTCACCGAAATCTAAAATTTGGCACTATACAAAAAGAAGATTCTCCGTCACATCAAACTTGCGGTACATGTATGGAGTACTAAATGTAGATGAAATCAAAAACTATTTACACAGTTTGGTTGAACTTTGCGAGACGAATCTTTTGAGCCTAATTAGCTAATATTTAGACAATAATTCACAAATACAAACAAAATTGCTACAGTGTTCGTCGTCACATCGAACCTGTGCAAATGCCGAATCGGCAGCGAACTAACCGCGGCCCTGATTAAAAATGGCCTCAGGTTAGGCGCTTGGTTGCTAGCTTGCTGCCAAGTGCCAACGGTGAACGACTGAACGATCAATGAATGAGGCCCTGCTTGTGGCCGCATCCATCCAGGTCAGCGCCTACGCCCCAGGCGGCTAGGCACTAGGCAGCCAGCCTTGCAAGGCCACGCCCCTGCCCACGGTTCCCAGCGCATGCATGCGCAGCTGTGGGCTATGCCCCCTGCGGGCTGCGGCCAAGATAGTGAGATGGTGCTTGGCGGTGCCCCTGATCCTCCGAGTCTGGTGGCTGGTGACGGCGTGATGGCCATCGTGCACCGATAGGCAGCGACTAGAGGGTTAAGTAGGGACGGGGAGAGAAAGAAACGAGTGAGAATTCCATGAAAGGAGGAAGTAGCGCGCTGCACATGAGGAGTCGGTGAAAGTCCCGATTTTTTCTTTATAATTGAGTGACTAACATGTTTCATATGAGAGGAACATATACTTAGTCCACATGTACACCAGCATGAGCAACTAATAGAGGCCAGTGAGGAGATGGCTTGGACATGTGATGAGTGCTTGACTAGTGAAGGGTTGGAGGAGCTTATTACATATGAGACATGACATAGTCTCATGTGGCTAGATAGAGAAGATCAAGACAAAGCTTGGTTGCGAAGGACCGTGTTGCAATAGTGAAGGGCAAGCTAGAGACTCGGGTGCGGTGGACCATTGAGGCGGTGAAGCGCAAGTAGAGGGCTTGGCGCCGATAGACTAAGGCAATGGTGAAGAGCAAGCAAGGCTACGATTGATGAACCGATAAGGTCATGTGAAGCTATGAAGTGGATCATATCATTCATGGAAGATCAAAACAAGCTTATGCATCGTTCTTGGGTGACATTCACCCATAGATATGCGCTGATCATGGTGGACTTGTGGGTACAGGTGTACACACTCCGTAGAGTTAAAACTATATGTATAGCCATGATTCTTTAATTGGTTAGGATTGGTTCTTGTGATCTGTTTCAGCAATTTAGCTTCTCTTGTGCCTCTTCTCACCCCTGAATATAGGTCCGGTTTGAGGTTGTCGTGACGAGGGCATGAGGAGGCCGCACGCCTTGTCGCTTAGACTAACAGAATGAGGGTGTTGTTAGAGAAGGTGAGGGTGATGATATGAGATGTGGAGTGGATGGTGAGAATGAGTGTATGGGTTGGTTTTGAAGAGATATATTGTATTACTTGTGCTTTTTCTGCATACGCTAAGAACGCAAACTACAGCCAAACTATTAGGATCACCAGATCCTTTATTTTATACTATCCACTAAAGCTCATTGGTGCTGACCATGTGCTACACACATCTAGTGGTGTGTAGAATTCTTGACCTGTAGTGATGATGAGAATAGTATTTGGTTTTGTCCACACTCAAGGATGTCTTTGCATTGGAGATTTGTCAAGCTTCGTTACTACGATTAGAATATCGACATTTTGTTATTTTAGCCCCAAGGGCTTGTATCCAAACTATTGTAAAACCCTTATTTATGTACTCTTGTATTGTATGGCAATATAATCAGTTAAAAATTGGATATCCGTGATAGCCGAGATATATTGGGACTATCTTAGAGGGGTAAAAGAGTCGGAATTTCTGTTTTGAAAATTTTGATTAGTTTCATTGCAAGCTCATGAGTTACATATCTCATAACCACAAGTTCAACATTGTTGATCCAACCAACTCTGCTCATCCTGTAGGCCTATAGCTTGCTATATATATTATAGTTGCTCGCTACTTGTGCATACGTTGTTTGTTCAGACTATGGGGGTGTTTGGTTGTCTCTCCTAAATTTTAGTCGTTGTTTTCATTGGATGTTTGGACACATGCATTGAGTATTAAATATAGACTAATTACGAAACTAATTACATAGTCTGCGACTAATTTGCGAGACGAATCTTTTAAGTCTAATTAGTTTGTGATTTGACAATGTGGTGCTACAGTAAATATGTGCTAATGATGGATTAATTAGGCTTAATAAATTCGTCTCGTGGAGTACTGACGGATTATGTAGTTTGTTTTTTTATTAGTATCCGAACACCTCATGCAACATTCTCCCGACACATCTCCTAAATTTTCGTCACCGGATCCAAACGCCCCCTATATTATGCCACTTCTTTCATACTGAATAATGCTGTGGCCAATCAAATAAGTTGAGATTTTGGAGGAAACTGAAACAAGTTGAATACTTGTGTTTATGGGTGCTAGATATTGTACAAAAATATTACGCAAGAGTATGTTTTTGAGATCAACACAAACACCACAAAGTTATGATTAGCGAGGCCAAGGCACGTATGAGGGTGGCCTTATTCTCAGTGGCTGCGAGCGTGGTTGCGAGAGTCGCCGCGAGCGTGGTTGCGAGAGTCGTGTATGAACCATGACACAAGACGCAAGGGTGGCTCCTCATATACGGTGATCTCATCGGAATTGAGAATGCACCGCTCATCATGCATGACCCGCCAAGCAAGGCGCAAGGTGAGCGTAGCAACCACAGATCTGTTGTCAAATTCATGCTTGACGATGAAGATGATGATGGGCCTATTCGCTGGTGGGTGCTGGTGCTGGTTTGTGTTAGTTAATGCTGGTTTTTTAAGAGAAAAATACTGTTGATTGATTGATTTGGGCTGACTGAAATCAACAAACGAACAGGACTGGATAAGAGGACTCTTATCTTTGAATATATATATATATATATATATATATATATATATATATATATATAGTAATAGTATTTTGTTACTAGGTACGACTGATATGTTCGCAATGGTAGTCGTGTTCTTTAGCTTTTTATGTTTTTTTTAGTTAGTCTGTTTGCTTGTTGGTTTCAGTCAGCTCAAATCAGTTAACCAACAGTGTTTTTCTTTCAAAAAACCAATATTAGTTAACTTAAACCAATACCAGTACCAACCAATGAATATGCCCAATAACAAAGAAGCTTGGCTTTCCTGTGCTTTAATCTATCAACATCTTTAAACGTAACTTCTTTCGGCCTGTTCGTTTAACTTATGCTTTTCGTATACGATTGAAAATTTCCAGCTAGAATAGTATTTCTCTCTTACACAAATTAGTCAGTAGTATTTTTTACGAATCAACAATGATAAACCAGTCAACTAAACAACTCCAGCAACAATACCAACAAGTGAACCGAATATGCTGTTTAAACGTGTGCCCATATTAACTTCTTTCACTGATGATCAATAGTGCTCCTCTCACAGATCCACTGCGGATCGACAGACGTGTGCAATT